GGGGGGGGGGGGGCGGGGGTAGCACGCACCGGTCACACCGGCCTCTGACACAGCCAGGCCGCCGAGGCCGGGACTAGAGAACACCCGGTGAGTTCACCCCTACAGACACACGCGTGTTTGGAAGTACACCATCTTCCCAAACTGAGCTAACTTTACCCATATTCCATGGCAGAAACACGCACGCTGGCCTCGATTCGCCCCATCCTGCCAGAAGTCCTGTGGGATTGTAGGATTTGGTGTTGGGGTACTGAGTCAGGCAGAAACGATCCTCAAAGCTCATCACGAAGAAGAGGACCTTGGCTGGAAATTAGCTCGGGAGGCCTATAGAAGCCATTAGCAAATGGCCACCCCATCAGCCACACGAGGAGGGAGAGGGCTTGCCTCCTTCCTCACCCGGGAGGCTGGGCGAGGCCTTCTAACCACTGTGGCATCTGCTGCATCTAAAGGTCAGTGGCCAGGCAGGGGTTGGGGCGGGAGGAATAATAGACTCCAGCGAGTCTGAGTCATGGAAGGACCTCGCTGGTCAGTGTGGCCTCTGAGGACCCGAGGACCACAACATAAACAGAAGCTCGACCCCGCAACCCTGCAGCTGGCTGGGCTGACCACGTCCCTCCGGAAGGGCAGGTGTCACTGACCAGCGTTCCATAAGCACAGCGGAAGCCGGAAGCTGCAAATATCTGTGCTGCTCCACCTGGGGGTGGCTCGTCCACAAGCCAGAAGGACGCGGCTCTGGCTGAAGGACCACCTCCCAGCGGCGCCCCACTTCCCAGGAGCTGGAACATGAGTGAAGGTCATTTCTGCCCCGAAGGAACGGAAATGATGCTGTAATTTCAAGTGTCATGTAGCAGACATCATTTTAATCTCTCTGCCACAGGCGTACGGTATAACAAAAGGCTTATAAATTTACTGATGAAATTAAATGAAGGGGGAGAAAAGCAGGCTGGTGCCAACAATGACAGTGGGAGGAGAATGTGTCTAGGGAGGCTATTTGGAAACTGTGTCAATGCAGCATCTCTGAAAACAGATCAGACGGGAAGCAAGGAGCATTTGGCCTTTGAAAAATCCCACACACAATTAAATGCTTCCATCGACACATACAAAATCCTGACATAATCGTTGAGGCCAAGGATATAGTGTGATGGAGCCGGGGGCCGAGCTGGCCTGGGAGCCCCAGCCCCACTCCCTCCCCTGTGCCGGCAGAGACCAGCCCTCTGCTCCCAGCTGGCTTCGCAGGGACTCAGCGCCTCCCACGGAACCAGGAACCCGGCTGGAATAGAGCAGGCACACATGCATCACACCGTCAGTGATGGGGGCTGGAATTCTTCCCTACTAAATATTCCATTTCTCACTGGAAGTTCTGATCATGTTTAGGCAACTGTTACAAAAGTGAGGAATCTAACAAGTGTCCCCCTCCTGGCCACAGAAGAAAGCAATGTTTAGCCGCTTCATGCCCCAAGCAAGGGGCAGGCAATGGGGGCCCTGCAAACCAACCCCAAACACTCCAGCCCAGTTCTTGAGCCCCGATCGTTTAAGGCAGATGTTTCCATGGACCTTCCTTGGCTGCAAATATTGTCAATTCTCATTATTCAAGATAGTTTTGTTCTATGACGGCACCGCAAACACTGAATTAGTGAACGCTAGACATTGCTCCGAGGGGAAACGCAGGGTTAGGCCCCCTGCAAGCCTCTGGCCACATGTGTTCATCAACCAATCAATATGTAAATATTTGCAAACCATCTACTAAGGGGTTAATATCCAAAATATATAAAGAACTCATACAACTCAAAAGCAAAAAAACCCCCAAATAATCCAATTACAGACATTTTCCCAAAGCTATGCAAATAGCTAACAGATACAGGAAAAGGTGCAGGACATCATTCGTCATCAGGGAAATGCAAATCAAAACCTCAGTGAGATCCCACCTCACACCTGTCAGGTTGGCTGGTATCACAGACAAGAGAAAGCAAGTGTTGGTGAGCATGTGGAGAAGGGGAACCCTCATGCACTGTTGGTGGGAATGCAAACTGGTGCAGCCACTCTGGAGAACAGTATGGAGGTTCCCTAAAAAAATTAAATACAGAACTACCATATGATCCAGCAATTCCATCTGGGTATATATCCACAGGAGATGAAAAGAGGATCTTGAAGAGATGTCTGCACCCATGGACATTGCAGCAGTATTCACCATGGCCAAGACATGGAAACAAGCTAAGTGTCCTTGGATGGATGGATGGATGGATGGAGAAGATGTGGTGTATATAAACAATGGAATATTACTCAGCCATAAAAAGAAAGGAAATCATGCCATTTGCAACAACACGGACAAACCTAAAAGACATTATGCTATGCTAAGTGAAGTCAGACAAAGAAAAACAAATACTGTATGATTTCTCTTATAGGTGGAATATAAAAATAACTTTTTAAAAAACCAAGTTCATAGATACAGAGAACAGATTGATGGTTGCCGGAGGCAGGGGGATACAGGATGGGAGAAATGGCTGTGCTGTTTTGTTGGCTTTTTTAGCTTAAATAAATTGTTTATCTTTTTTTTTAAGATTTTATTTATTTATTTGTCAGAGAGAGCACAAGCAGGGGGAGCGACAGAGGGAGAGGGAGAAGCAGGCTCCCTGCTGAGCAGGGAGCCCAACATGGGACTGACCTTGAGATCATGACCTGAGCTGAAGGCAGATGCTTCACCGACTGAGCCAGCCAGGCGACTCTGTTTATCTTTTCTTTTTTTAAAAAAAGTGGTGAAGTCCTGGACGAGGGTCATAGCAATGGGAAGAAAGGGCTGGGGAGGTTCTGGAACCTCTGGGATCGAGCAGCAGCTGGATGTAAGTCCAAGAAGGAGAGGAATGGGGACCACGCAAGGCTCAGAGTTACTGGGGTAATGAAAGTGGCTTTTAAATTTAAACAAAGGATTCTTACTGCCAGGAAGGGAAGTCCATTTGCTTACTCTAGTGGGACTTACTCTACTCGCCTCGGGGCAATGTCCCCCAACAGCCAGCTAGCAGGGCAGAGCGCAGGACAGATGGCGTGAGGCTGACAGTGCGGCAGCTCCAAACATCAGGCCCCCCAGACTGGCTGTAAGGACGACCTGACTGTGGGGGCGTCCAGACCACTCTCCAGCCTCACGGCCAGCCTCCTGCTCCCCCAGCCTCCTGCGCACGTTTCCTGCCACCACACAACAGCCGCGGGAGACTGAGCGTGGCTGAGGTCCCCCTGCAGCCTCACCTTCAGGCCACAATGTGCTCCAGCCTGCACTCCCTGTCCCCACTGCCTGGTGTCCGGGAGCCCCATTCTTTCTTCCTGTTTTCCACGTCAGACGGGCAATGTGCCGAGGTCATAACAAGGTTTGAGGGAGGCACATGTGAATGGTGTGAACACCCAATCATCACGCTTATGAACTACAGAGGGATCCCTGGAGCCCCATCCTAAGTCCAACCTGGGAGTGGAAGGGAACGCAGCTCTGAACCCACGTACTGGGTGAATGGCGTCCCCCAAAGCTCATGCCCACTGGGAACCTCAGCATGTGACCTTATTTGGAAATAGGGTCTTTGCAGGTGTGATTACAGTGAGGCTTGCAGTGAGACCATCCCCGACCGCGGCAGGCTCTAAATCCAATGGGAGTGTTCTTGTCAGAGACAGAAAAGGACCCACAGAGCCCGGGGAAGAGACCCAGCAGAGACAGAGCAGAGACCGAGGGACGTGGCCACAAGCCAGGGACACCAGGAGCCCCAAAAGCTGGAAGAGGCAGGAAGCATCCTCCCCCAGAGCCTCCGAGGGAGCGTGGTCCTCCAACACCCCGATCTCAGCGTCTGGTCCCCAGACTGTGGGGGTGGTGCTTTGTTACAACAGCCCAGGACACCGACAGCATCCCCACAGCTGAGGCTCAGACATCAAGGTCTCCAGAGCCTGTCCTAAGGCCAGCTGCCCTCCACAGCCTTCTCCCACCTCCAGCTCTGCCCCTGGCCTCTGCAGGTCCAAGGCCCCTCAAAACCCCATTCTCCTCCCCAAGGAAGCCTCCTTTTGGGGGTGCCTGGGAGGCTCAGTTGGTTAAGCGTCCGACTCTTGATTTTGGCTCAGGTCATGATTTCAGGGTCATGAAATCAAGCCTGCATCGGGCTCTGAGCTGGACATGGATCCTGCTTAAGATTCTTTCTCTCCCTCTCCTTCTGCCCCTCCCGCCCTGCTTCTCACTCTCTCTCTCAAAAAAAAAAAGAAGAAAGAAAGAAGGAAGGAAGGAAGGAAGGAAGAAAGAAGAAAGAAAGAAAGAGAAAGAAGAAAGAAAGAAAGAAAGAAAGAAAGAAAGAAAGAAAGAAAGAAAGAAAGAAAGAAA